TTTTTTTAAAAAAAAAAAAGATATATATACCATTAAAAAACGATATATATATACCACTAAAAAGATATATATACCATTAAAAAAATCGATACATATACCATAAAAAAATGAAAAAAAAACCCATTTAATGAATGATCAAAATAAAATAAATTTTTTTAAGAATATAATCATTCCATGCATGAACCAGATTTTTTCTGTATTGTGGTATATGTACAGTATATGATCAGTATATGTATAATATATGATCGTACTTTTCACCGGATTACTGCTCCTCGCGCAACGATGCTTGACATGATCGATTTCCTCGCGCTCCAATCGATTTGAAAGGACCTCTCCGATCTGTCCGAATCAAATTACTTCTCCTCTTGGAATTTTCACCGTCGTCCCTGCAATTTCGCCGGAGTTTACTGCGACAGCAATAGGTCTCTTGGATCTGATCATATTGAATTACTTCTCTTATTGAGATTTCACCACCGTCCCTACAATTTTTTTTTTTCCTGGTAGTTCATGGTTGAAATCACGCCACAATCTGTTGGATGGAGGACGTTACATAGTAAACGATATTAAGGCAATCTTATAAATAAAATATCTTCATTAAGTATATCTCCTATTATTTCTTCAATGAAGGTAAACATGAAAATACTTTCATATCATGTAGTAGGTGTAAAATTTTCCCAAATTTTAAATTGGATTCCAAAAAAAATGAATGTATTGTAAAATGATTGTAAAACAATTATATTTTATTATATTATATAGAAGTAAAATGATACGAGAATGAAACTTGGTAAAAGAAGTGAGAATAAAATATACTCTTTGAATTTGTTAAATTAATATTTCAAATTTTGTCAAGAGGTCTAACATTTAGTCAAAACGCATTGGCAATTTGGCAATTTCATGTACTAGTAGTGGTGGCATTTTTGTACTTTCATGAAATTACGGTGTATACTTTATGTGCATATTTCACGTTTAAGATGCAAACTATTTTTTGGACTTCATGTGCTGTACACACCATTATTTTTATTTTGGAGGGTATTGTAAAACTATCTTAGTTCAACAAAACTATTGAACAAATAAAAGCACTGACCATATTCATTTATGTACATTATAAGATCTTAGCCATATTGAGTTCTTACACTAAAAGGAGGGATATATTAAGACCCGGGATTTGCCTCTTCAGTCCTTAATTTGCAAAGCATAACGAAAAAATAGGCACAATTA